TAAGATGGAAATGAATTGTGGAGATAAAATGGGCATGGATAGGTTCTCCTTAGAAGGACTGTTGGACGACTAGCCAACGGAAGATTTTAAGGGAGGAAAAAAAAACAAACAAAGTTCTTTGGAAGATAAAAATAAGATAGAAATGAGTTGTGGAGGTATTGAATTGTAGAGATAAAATGGGCATTACATACAGATGGGATGGGTAGCATGGGCAGATTGATAGGTGAGTATCCCATGTTTCGTTCTACGTGCATGTGCATGTGTCTCGTATGAACAAAAGGCCATCCATGGTGATGAGACTGATGTGTGCAGTGAAAGGAGTTTCATTGAATGGAATGATAAACATCTGTCTATTGTCCATGGGCCAGTTGTGCACGTGCTTCTGTTTTAGGTAGCAGAACTGAGGTAGAGATGAGATGAGATCCGCATGAGATGCAGTTCAAGGATAGTCTGTTTCCATTGGCGAGTTGTGTGGAGGCTTCTATTTTTAGGTAGAAGAACTAAGATCAAGATGAGACCGAGAAAAGGTAGACAACTGTTAAATGGATAAAGTAGATAGATGGATAGGTTAGTGTCCTGTGTGTCCTGGAAAATGACATGCGTGAGAAGGGGGGCGGGAAATGATAAAAGGCCTGTGTGCCACGGAAAGAAATGATGAATGCAAAATGTGGTTCTGTTGCCATCGACTGGTTGTCTACAGGTCGCTATTTTTGGTGGTAGGACTGGGGCATACACGTCGCAGGTCTATGAGAATGTAGTGTGTGGATCCTGGGCACACTGCGCAGACAAGCACGTTCACTGGTACGCTGTGGAGCCTAAACACCCAATCCCAATCTTCTGATTCCTGGCACGATCAGCAGATCATGAGGAATGCCAAGTACATTTCTAGGAACCTCTGAGAGTGCGTAGTCCTGTGTGCCGTGTCAATGGCCGCTGCACTGTCAGCACTTTCATCCTGTTGGGAATACTATTGTTCAGTGGGAATAACTATTGTTCAGTCCGGTGGACACTAAGCTTTTTTGTGTTGTTGTGAAATGGATTTGAATTTAACCTTTGGCAATCATGCGGGTTGCCCATGGGTGCTGGTGGCACTTGGTGTGCTTCCAGTATTGTTGAATTGTATGAGGCTTTGAAGGTAGCAGTGCTCGGCACGTAGTCAAGGAGCAGGAGAAAGAGTGAGTGCACATACACATGAAAAATGCGTGAGAGAGAGAGAGAGAGAGAGAGAGAGAGAGAGAGAGAGAGAGAGAGAGAGAGAGAGAGAGAGAGAGAGAGAGAGAGAGAGAGAAATTATTGAAGGCGGATGACAGAGTAAAACAAAAGGAAAAGTCTAGTCGTTTTGGATGATTAGTGATTGTTGTAATTTGGGGAGAAGAAGACAGACAGGGCTATAGGAATCAACAGGGCAGTCTGAGAGACATAAGATATGGAGGAATCATCGCAGTTTCTGATTGCAGATAAGCAGCCGTTTGAATGTCAACTTTGCTCAACTAGCTGCACAGGGAGCCTGAGATGTGATGGCTGCAAAACAGTCTTCTACTGCAGTAGGGAACATCAGGTTGTTTCCTGGCGTTCACAGCACAAGGAGCAGTGCCACAGAATGGCTCAGCAGATGCAAAAAAAGCTGGAACTGAGGGATCTTCCATTTGAGTTTACAAAGGAGGTCACCGAAGATGTGGACTCTTTCAGAAGCAACATGTGTATGTTTCTAGAAAAGAAAGGTTTGCACAAGTGCGGCTTGTGGCAGGCAGAATGTGCTTGTGCATCTGCTGCAGAACGCGTTGGTGAAGTGTCAGGTTGGCACTTGCCTGCCAGCTTGGCTCCTAGCAGAGACCCTCCGTCTGTGCCAAATGATTGGTTGAGGAATTGGAAGGAGTATTACAGTTGGAGGGAGCTTCCTCTCGACTCCCCTGCTGCCATTCTGCTTCACTTCCCTCTCACTATCTACCATTGCCTGCACCTGGCTGTTTCATCCCATGATGATGTGGTGGCAGCGCCAAGGAGGAGCCCACCAGGTCAGTTTGCTGGGCAGCAACTTGTCGTGCACCTGTTGGGAGCTGATAAGGAGGTGCGTCAACAGCAAGTCTTTTCGGAGCTTGGCTTTCTGCTCGCTGACGTGGAAGTGCTGCTTTTCATGATAGGCCCTGCCGTGCCGAGAGATTACGATGGGTCTGAAGTGAGTTTATCGGCTTTATCTCCAATTTCAGGTGCTGACGAGGCTGCTGACGAAGTGGGTTCCAGCTCACAGCAACTGGGGAAAGGTCATCATCGTGCGCGGAATGTGAAGGTCGTCCTACGGCGTGGCCTCTACCATAAACTGCATTCTCAGTTACCTGAAGCAGCTCTTATCGTAGCAATGAATGCCGGGCTACCAGCGTTTCCTTCCTGGAAACCGACCCTAGAGCTTGTTAGTCGGACCAAATCTGCCCCTGTGTTTTTCACCGATTACTGCGAGGAGGCACTGCATATGTCATTGCAACTCTTTGCTGCAGCTGACATATCATCCTTGTCTAAGCAGGCAAGAGTAAATCCCTTTCGCTGTCCATTCAGTAGGAGGGTAAGAGACCTTGCCGTGCCTTGCTATTCCAATGGCTTTATATTACAAATCTGTT